AAGGCTTTTAGAGGACATGGGACTTACCCGTTAGCTTTGTAGAATATCAACTATTATAAATACTAATCTATGGCTTTCAGTATTGTGAAGGAGTTCACATGTGGAGATGAAACAAAACCTCTCAAAGTTGCAGTTGTAGCTGTAGGACAACTACTCAGCAGTTCGATTCACTAGAAATGGATGCTTAACAGGTGATGTGGAATCAGCATTTCAAGTGAACTTGTGAAATTTCTTCAGTTCAGTCAATACAGGTACACTTCACTCTTCTGATTACAATGTATGTACAGCACCACATGACCATCCAAACAACAGTTGCAGAACGCATAGCACCTGACCCAGGTAATCTGAGGTTTCCCTGCCTTCAAGAATAGAAGAAAAAAAGCCAAGAGGGACTCCCTTCACCCATCACTTGCCTGTTGTAAGGCACTGATCCCCCATATGCAATAAGGCCAACAGGAAATGAATGCTCTCACATAGCTCCTCTAAAGGAAAGGCAGTCACAGTGAGAGATTGACATACGTATGCTAGGGAGTGGAGGAGAGACAGGAAGTAACCAGGAAAAGATGCTGGTAAAAGGAAAGAGACCAACAAATGTGAGAAAAGCCTTCCTGTTCCTCCAGAGACATGGACTGTGAAATGCTAGAATAGTTTTTTTTTTCCCTCAAAGAGCTGTTTCAGGCTGCTTGTATCAGAATAAGTATACAGATCAGCTAATTTCATTTTTTTCCTATTAGTGTTTGCCATTTCCCCTCACTGTGCTTATGTCATCACCAGATTTCAACTTCCTCCTCACTTAATAGAATAAAGCCAAAATAGTTCCCCAACACTTTTGTTTTGTTTAAACACTGTCTCCTTCTGCTTCAGGATCAAAAGATTTGTAACCCAGGAAACATTAAAAAAACCTCTATTAGGAAATACAAAACTGTATGGATAATCACAAAGTAAATATACCAGTCATGAGTTACTGCACTGTTCTGGATAATATTTCTGCTATCTCAGATGATGATGATTTTTGCATACCTTTCAGCTCATTGCATCACCTGCAAGCCAGTCTGTCTCACTAGAAAAGCTTGCTGTTTAGCAATAATCATTCACAAATACATGGAGAGGCTCTGCTATTGCATCCATCTATGTACAGTCACACCATCTTAGGTAACACGGCAACGCAGCACTTAGATAATTAACTATGCCTAAAAGCCTTCTTACAGAGGATTAGGTCTATAAAAATTAATGAATTCTGCTTGCTTCCAGACAGGTCATGCAAACAGTAGGAGAAAATAACCTGCCTTGCTGCCCACATCAATTTGGAAAGACCAAATTTATGCATATGATCACGTCACTGGTGACAGCTCTTAGCATTGTCAGCAACCTGCAAGTCTCATTCATTTCAGTAGGACTGACACATGCTCAGCTTTACTAAGAGTCTGTCAATACTGTTTTCCTACCTCTGCTACCTGCTCATGACATCTCATGACAGAATTTGTTCTAGAGATAGGATGGTCTGCAGGGTGGGGACTGGAAAAATATTTTTAAAATCTTCCCAGATTATTTTCTAATGCCATTGTTAAAGGAGTGTGAAAGCTGCAGAGTGACCTTAACTCTCCGCTTGTTTTTGTCTCCTCTTTTCCTGTCCCCACCCCTCTACGTTAGTCAGGCACTTATTTTTAGATAAAGAACAGATAAGCAGAACAATCCATTTCAGGGGAACACATCTTCACCTGTCACCCAGCTGACTGACTGTGACTCCTATGTCATATGGTGTTGACTATTCAGCAGTGAGCTGATCACCTGGACCTACCTGAAGGGAAGAAAATACAATGTCTCAGACAGCATTTTAAAGAGTCCTTTAAAACTGAACTGTTGTGCCAAACAGCTCTGAGTAATTCCCTTCCTTGCCCACTGTTTTAAGAGCATTTTCCCGAACAGAAGCATTAGCAATGCCACCATCTTGTATTGTGCTTTTGTCAGTAGGCTTCAAAGAGGTTTTCTCCCCTGCTTCTCAGGTGAAGAAGTGGAAGCTGAGTGGGAATTGTACGGGGCTGGCTGACAGAGTGCAGATTAACAGACAGCTGAGCCACAGCTCTAGTTCCTAAGCCAAGGGTGCCCACTTTATGTCTAGGTGTGGGCTAGCTTCATACTGGCACAGTACTAGCTTCCTCTTTCAGGAAGGTCCTTGGAAACGTGAAGGCATAAGATTATAGATGGGATGAGCAATCCTGGTGTGGTAGACTGTTGCTGTTGTCTTTCTCAGGAGCTCAGAGGCAACTCTCTCACAGCATGACTTGCAACATGACAGAAGAGCGCAGAGCCTCCATGAGAAAAGATGAATCTTTTTGTTCTCGGTGGCCCACCCACAGACAGTCTTATTGCTTGGGGGCAGTTAGAGTTTAATGAACATGTCTGCATGTAAACCCTATCTGCCTGCACAGATGGATACTACGCATATGTAGGCAAAAGGGCCATGGCACATCTGGTATTAAAAGCCATTAGAAGACCCTTTAAGTTAACGTGTTTGGGATTTAGGACTCATCTTGCACATAGAAAGTCTAATCCCATCTCAGAGCAGCTGTGGATCAAAACCAGTCCATAGATAAGTGTATGGCATCCACTGACAACATCTAGAGCTGTGTGCCCTTCCCAAGAAGGGGATTTTCCTCACAGTTATTTTCCCTCCCCCGCGGTCCCCCAAGAACATCTTGAGAATGTAAGTGCAGCTTTCCTTTTCCCCCCATGGCAAGATTGCAATTATGGCTAAGTTGATAGCTCAACTCACTTATGACTGCAAATTGCTGATTAAGCGGAATATCTGATCTGATAAATATATCTGAGATATATTTATGTAAAAGATGCTAAAGAAAAAATAGACTTTAAGAATATTATCCTCAAAAGCCATGTATTACTGCGTTCCAATTAAAAAATATCACAACCAGCAGGGAATCCTGCTCCAGCTCCCCCTGAAAGAGGCTACGTTCATTTCTGCATGCCTGCTTTTCCCCTCTAAGGCAGGCTACAAAATCCAATCCCATCCCAAAGCAGCACTCCTAACTAAAAACTGGGCCTCACTGGGAAAGAATTCAAAACATTTAACAGTGCTTTCTGACACTTCTACTACTGGAAATGCAGCCAGGTGTGAAGGGGTAATTCCTCCACACCTCTGGGAACCCAGCCATTGCAGATTCACTCCTGCTCATCATATGCTCTCAAAAGCCCCATGAGAATCACATAGCATTTGGGCATATTGAATATACTTTAAGAGATTATAATCTGAGACAATGGGTTCTTTGGGAAACAACTGTTTTTCCATTTCTGATTGTGTCATATACAGTGCAAGTGCCACAGCCCCAGCCCTTGACTGACAGCCTCTAGGTGTGACTGAATTACTTATAAAAAAATAATCCACACCATACAGTGCAGGCTGCAAAGCACCATGAAAATGCCTACAGAAATATGTTGGCACCTCTAGGTACTTACCTTGGGTGGGATAAGGAAAGAAATACCAAAACTATTTACCATAGTGAAATTAGTATAAGTTTATGAAGTGAGTGTATTTTTGTGGGCAGGGTTTTTTTGAGGTTTTTTTTTGCTTGTTTGTTTTTAATAACACTGACAGCACAGCCTTCTTTGCAATTACTATGCCGCTTCTGCAAAAGGGGTTATGAAAAGTTCCTCACATCATCATAGGACTTAGTATTAAGGTAAATGTGGCTCTACCGTTAGAGAAAGGAATATTTTGCACAAGAATAAGGGAAATCAAATAATACAGAGCTTTACAGTATGAATATGAAATCGTATAGTTAAGATTTCAATAGCTCGCTGATGACTGAATCATGACTGTTGCAGGGATATCAATTTGGTACCCACAACTTAACAGACTGCACTTTTTCATTATGAAAAAAACAAAGTAGCGTAGGTGGATTTTTTTGCAGTGGAGCCGATCTTTTGTTTGCATTCTATTTGTTTGTCTGATTAAATCATTCTGGTATTCCTTTTAAACACTGTTATGTAATTAACGTCTCCTGTCATTGCACTGCAAAATAAGCCTTCTGCAGGTGATTGGTGGAAGAACCAAGATGTCTCTAAAAAGATCTGAACATTCTGGAACAGATTTGAGACTATCGGAAAGAAAAAAAGGAAAAAGAAAAGGAAGAGGGAGCTGCAAGAGGCAGTAGAAAGCAGAGTTCCCAAACCAGAAGTTACACAGAACTGTCTAGTTTGATAAGAGAAGGGTAGGTAAGGGAAACACATACAAATTTCCTAAAAACCATCCAATGTTAAAAACTTTTAAGAAACCAGGCTAATTCAGGTAATAAGAGCAATCCACTGCAACACCTTACAATATTGCTCTTAGGAAAGAAAAAAAAAAAAGATGGCTAAGAAATAAATGGACTAATCTGTTATCGGCAGATACACCAGGTAATTAATTATTAAATCACATGCTGTTTGTCAGCTGCAAATGGAAGGTTTCTCCATAATTTAAGACCATATTTTAAGCACTATTGAGTCTTTTGCTTGACATGTCTAATTTTCATCCAATTATTGCTCCCCCCACAAAAGAGGGGACATGTATCCCTATCTTTGTCCAGTTTTAACACCTAGACTTCACGAATTTACAAGCAGTTACATGTTTATTTTCTAAAAATATAATTTTATTTTCCCATTCATAGTTGTTCTACTCCCTTCCCCCCAAACAGACAGCACCAGTGAGGCCCCTGTCAGCAGAAAAAGACATAACACTGTACAAAATAGAACTGGAAGCTCATTTAAAGGAGACAGTGTTGTCATTCTTAAAAATATACTAACCAGAACTGTCTTCCTGAGGCATCATCAATGCTAGGTTGTACCTTGAACTGGTATATTTAAAGTCCACAGTATGTTCTGTTTATTCAGATCTAGCTGCAAAGATCCTCTATTCTGCTCGGCCAGGTCAGAGTGTACATACGACTAGTTCACAGCTATTTTCCAACTTAAACAAGCTCAACAGAGTTTTTTTGCTCACTTACCCTGGAGATGGTCAAGGGCATGTTGAAGTCCTTGCCCCCTTGCAGTCGGAAACCCCATGGTCCAGGTCCATTCAGAGTCACGCTGTAAGCCATTTTGTACCTCTTTCACAAGGCGACAACAAGGCACTGCAGAACAGAAGGACAGGGTAGACAGAGAAAGCGTGAAAAAACAGAATGAGAAAAGGGAAGAGCTTTATATAATGAAAGCAATTCTCTTTCTGCCTTGCCTGGTCAGTCGTGCTGGGATATCACCTAAGAATAGATGGGAGCTATAATGCAGATGCTGATATCCCAGCTGAGTAGGGCCCATAAAAGGTTTGTAACCAGACACCTACTATGCAAAGACTTCATGACTCAGAGGTCTAATATAGCCCCCAGGGAAGGGGACAGATCTTTCTAGGCTTCTCAAGCCCCTCTTCATGGTCAGTTACTTTGTGGGCAAAACACATTTTGTAATAAAACAAGCAAACAAACTCCCGTGCTAAAATCCCAAACACCCAAATCTCTTTACTCACCTGTTAACACCTACATAGCCATTTGTAACTTCTGCTTCAGAACGTTTATTGCACCGTGATATATAATGTACTACAAACAAGTTCTTTTTACATAGATCTTTCCATATGTAGCAGGAAAGGCACCAAAAAAAGTGTTTACCTTCTTTTGCATTGGTTTGTTAAACTGAAAAAAGTATATACTACCTGCATTTAGCATCACAAAAAACCACCACAACTTCATGTTTGGCTCTTAGTTCCAAAGCCCTTGCTTTCTCAAAGGAAAATTAAAATTTATTCTCTTTGAAAGCAGATAGAGATATTATGGGTTATTTCTAATCACCATTTGATTTCCGTGGCAAAAGCCATGTAGTTTCACTACATACCTATCTCATCATGTCAATACAAGTCTTCTAAAGGCATGACATTTAAGTGGAAGGCTAAGAATACAAATAGCTAGCTAACTGCTTCCTTAATTCATTCCTTGATTTTTCATAGTTTATATGCCAGTTGTTAGCTGTTCCACAAATCTTTACAACCCTTGTTCAGTAACGCTGGATAGCGTTTCTGCCTTAGATTGGGAATAGCTAAAATACACAGAACAAGAGGGAAGGGGAGAAGCTGTTAGCAGAACTACAGATATAAAGAAAACCTTCTGCTCTCAGGATAAAGCTATAAACATTAAATAACACTTACCCCTTTCAAGTCATTAATATGTGCAGGACCTCCAGAACCACTCTACTGTATCTCCACAGTATCCCTGCTTGTATCCTCCAGTTACAAAGAAATTCCCATTACATTAAGGTGGGTTCTACTCTGATAATCAAAAAGACAACCAAAACCACATAATGCACTAGAGTGAGGTAGCTCAGTTTGAACACTGATAATAGGTCACTTTGCCCATACACCTACCTTAAAATGTGATAGAAAAACTGATGGTGAAACAGCAGAGAACAAACACTACCACGGCCTCAGTCTTTATCTGAGGAGATGGTCAATAATTTTTCAAAACCAGGAGGCAATAGAAGTATGTGTTTAGTATTCACAGTGGCAAAAAAAGCCACAGACTAAACCACATAACAGTATTTTTTAGTCAGATGTCCAAACTAAACCACAGCAATTCACGTGAATTTGAGTGTAAGTTGCACTCAGCCAGTAGAACTGTCCCAAACCAAAATCAACACAGAGCTTAAAAAGAAAACAGGTTTCTAATGTCTCACAAACACCTTGAGGGCACATTTACATTAACAGCATTTAGAACCCACCCTATATGAGGCCACAACCAGTGATATTTGGATGACTGCTTTGAGGGGAGACAAAACTAACTTGTTGCACTTCAAACAGCAGTTTTCAGGCCTGCCAGTTTATCCAGTAGGTGTCTTTCTAAATGCTGGTACTAGATATTTTTATTAATTTATTTATTTTTTAAAAACGCACACACAAAAGATTGAAGGTAAATTCCCATTGCACTATTCCTTTCCTTTTCCTAGGAATTCACTGTCGTTTTTTAGTGCCCTTTCTTGGCTCCATTTCAAGGGTTCAGGAGAATGGAATAAAAACAGGAGTAAGATAAACATGGCAAGTCATTGCTTCATTAGTAAAGACAGTGTCACAGAAAAAAGTATTGAGAGATGTTATGTTTTTATGGACTGTGATCTCTATGCATGTTACTTTCCTATACTTAAAACTTCAGTCATTTGTGTAAAAAAAAAAAAAAAAAAAAGCGCAGTGTGTGTGCGCAAAGCCCAGAATAGAATAAAACTGCACAGACATCAAGCTGAAAAGAACTAAGCACTAAGAAACAGGGATGCTGCTTAATCAAACACTATGTGCTTCTGTCCTGCTTTCACATGTGTAACATGCTATTTGCTTATCGGTTTAGGACATCTGAAAGGGTCTGTGAGATCCTTCAGGCTGGGTGATGTGCTAGGAAACTAAAGTGGTAATCTCATTAGGGGCACTGTCATTTGAACGAAACGTTAAACTGAGGTCACTTGTTCCTACTCCTTTGGTTGCTGTCTCTGTCTGCATGAACGCTCAGCATAGCCTGGCACTTTTAAAAAGAAAGTGTAGAGGATATGCCAGTGTCCTGGCCAACATTCCCCTTCAACACAACAGGACCACAACTCTTTCATGTGCCTGCACTATCACGACCAGCTGCATTTTGGAGTAAAAATATTCCACAGTTTTCTTTCTCCAGGCCTCTCTAAGTCCTTTCCCTCCTGTGTTTGTTTCCCCTCTGCCTGCCTGGAGAAAGCTCTGTGCCTAATAATGAAGTGCAAACGGTAAAGAAGCTCATGCTGTAGTCACAGCTTCGTTTGCCAGGGACACTCTTAGCACAGGTCTTACTTGTCTTCTACAGACTTTTAGCAGCCTTTAAATAAGACAGCTGGTGATCCACCCAGATGACTATTTCAACCCTGCCCTGTTTTCAAAGGTGAGACACATGGGTGTTCTCACTGTGTCAAACATCCAGAGCAAACCCAGGAACTGGATTGGTGCAGCAGGTACAGTGCCATCACGGCTACCAGCACAAACCTCAGCAAAAGCTTCCATGAAACCTGAGGATGAAATAAACTGTGTGTACATAATAGACAATCCCCTTGTTTTCAGAAGCTTGTGATGTTTAGATTAGGTTCTAGTTGCTTTGCATAACTGCGTGTTAGACTGTTCCAAAAATCATTTTTTGTTTGCTCAAATAACAGTATTTTGTTTCTCTTGGTGTGCCTTCTTCCCTACATTCTCCAGCAACATCAAAATCTATGACTTGCTTATAGCTCCCACCCTTCAGACAGAAGCTATGCTGAGTCAGATGAGGTCACTGGTGTAAGGAGTGACATTTAAAGAAAAAAAACATATTCCAGGAGCAGGGTGACATTTTCTCTACAGATATCAAAACAGAGTTGTCCAGAGCTCATCAGGTCTCCCCTGAGAGCTGTCCCCACCTGACTGATGGGAACAGTTGTGAGGAAGCTGGATGGGTACCAGGCTCTGTGGGCTCTACAGCAGAGGTGAGTGCTGCCACCTCCAGCAAATGCCTCAGAGCCTGAGCAGAGCCGTCCTTCCACAGCTACAGAGACATTACACTAGTGGAAACAATTCACATATGCTTGGAGACCATGTTGTACTACAGTGAACTGACTTTAGGAAAGCTACAACTGCATGCTTGTGAGTGCACAGCCATTAAGTGAATGAAATAAAAACCGCTAGTGCCAATGCTAAATTAAGGTGGAAGGAAACAAGTAATGGAAATTCCAATTGTTCAAGTTGCTACTGCTTCATTAAGCTGGCCACATGACTCATCGGTTATATTTTAGCTGCAGCGGTAGATGTGCTCATAGAAGAGCCTTGAATTACTGTTACTGCAGCAACAAGGTTGTATCATTTGTATCATTAAGCATTTCAGAAGTAGATTGCTTGAGAGCTTGACTTCTGATCTGCAATAGACTATGCATCTTTGGCATACAAAAAGATGCATGTGAGGTCATGGTTTCAGCAACCTTTTGTTTTTCTTTAGGCAACTGAAGGACTTGCCCTGCAGAGGAATAAACTACCCTTTCTTCTTTGATAAAAAGATCCTCAGCAAGCTGGATAGACATTCCTTTAAAAAAAGCAATCAGACAAAAATATTGGCTGCCTTTGTTTCAGTCTCCCTCACCAGAGCGAGTGGCAGTACGAGAAGGCAGCATTCAGCTTCATGACAAACATGTCCTTTTTGTCCCACGGATTCCTGCATTGTCCCCAGTAAGATTATCTACAAAAAGGTAAGAAGAATGGATCGGGAGCGTGTGAAGAAACTACTCACCCAGACATATGCATGAAGAAAACCCAAGCTTTGAACCAGATGTCTGATATATGCAATCCTAGGGTTTTACAAAATTTTGAATTAACCCAGTGTTAATTATATTACACATGGAATAATGAGGAAACAACGGCTGCATCTGGGGACTGATCTCCATTGCAATCCACAAGACAAAACAGCACATATTTACTACGTATTGGCTAATCAGTGCTAAAGAATTTGAAACTGACACATTAGAGATGTAAAAGCTTTTTAGCTCTGAATTCCTACCTTGCCAATGTCAAACTGAATATAATAGTAATTACCAAGACCAAGGATTTTTCCCACAAGTTAAATATTGCTTCCAAAGCAAGACTATTCTACAACGCAAAAGAGCTCATTGCCACCTCCTTTCCTTCACTGCTGAGCTCTGAACTACGTTGAGCTAATCCTACTTGTACTTCCACGTACAGCTTTGTTTCACCCATTTAATGAAAATCTTTCAGTTCTCACAGAACTTTGTATTTCTGAGTTCCTCTTAGTGCCTTTATCAAGTTGCCCTAAGAAGTCCTGTATTTTGATCTTTCTTAAGAAGCCAAATTTTCTGTCACACTTGGCTTCATCAAATTCTGCTTTGTCAACGCCTTTCTAGTAATGTGGTTTGTGGGTCCCAGCAGAATATAGTATTCCTGGGCTGATATGCAATATAATGATGGAATGTTATCTCCCTTCTTTGTAATACAATGCCTTCAGAAATGCAGCTCAGACTGTTTTCTGTTTGGCTGTTTGCTGCTGCCAGTATCATCTTACCAATTAACCAAATTTGCTGGTTACCCTCACCTCTAGATCCTTCGCCA